GATGGGCGCGGGGCCGCGGCGTGGGCCACGCCCGAGCGTTTCCCTCGCTGCCTCCGCGGTCAGCTCCTTGGAGGCCGGAGCCGAGGAGGATCTGCCTACGGGAATCTGCCAGGGTTCTCCCTGTGCCCGCTCTTCTCCGTGACCCCGCTGGGCACGCAGGCTCCTGATCCCTGCTGCGCGATGCGCCGGGAGCAACTCTTCGGGGACCTCACGTAGGAAGGAAGGAGAAATACGCAGGCAAATTATGCCACTTTTGCGAATACTTAGACGACCTCTGGACTGTCGAAGCTAAGGCAGCCGGGCGAGGATCATAACCGGGAACACTTTGCAGATACAGCTTTCCTCTGTCCTTTCTCTGTTCTGTCAGTCAGGGAGGTGCAGTAGGAAAATGAGTGGACTCACGTATCTAGGTGCTTTTCTGCAAGTTGGGAGCCTGGGCAGGAGCCTGCCCAAAACCCAAGCATGCTGGAGGTCTCCCACACAAAGAAATCCTCACTGAGGAAGCAGAAGTTATAAAGAGGGAAAAATATCACATTTCTCTGTTGTCGGTTTTAGTGTCCGTAGACGTATTGCAGAGCTTATAATCATGATTTTTAACCACAGGCAAGTTTGCAGGTTGGGTGTGCTGGAAATCCTCTTCTAGCAGGCTCAAACCTAATTACATGGGTGAACGACAACTTCCTTCTGCTGCAAACAGCCTTTATATAGACCAGTAGACCTCTTAAGGAGTTGCTGGGGAAATTCCCTCTAGCTCTTCTTCTGAAGTGATCGACTACAGCATGTAAGACTACTCAAAATCCAAAGCCTTCTTTGACCAAACATGAAACATCCATCACTGTCATTTCTGGACAGATCACTTCCAAGGGTATACTTCACTTTTCAATCTATGCCCCTGAAGATCATCAAGAACAATGCCAACATATATAGAATTCACAACACCCTTATGTCACGTGACGCCTCTTCGTTTTTCCTGTTAGCTTAGAGCTTCCATCGTTCAACTGGGTGATACAGAACCATTTTTTTAACTGTTGACAAAATTGAGTTTTATTTCTTTGAAGAACAAAGAAGAATCAAAGTGTTGGGATATAGCTGCCCAGGGTATGTCTACATGACAGACCTCTGGAAACAGATAGGCAAGCTCCATAGCTCTTTCTGGCATGACTAATCTGCAGCAGAAAGACACTTATTGCACACAATGGGTATTATGAAGACACACACATAAAAAAAAAAAAAAGAAAAAAAAGGTCAGACCAGAACTGCACATACTGACAACTTCCAGGAAAAGCGCACACTCAAATTAGGGCTGAAACCTATGTTTCATATCTAGTGTCTGGGCTAGAATTTCATATTGGTCCTTTATTGCTTACTACAGAACTGTACCCTGGACTTGAAGCGGATGCAAGTATT